AAGTTACAATCCATCAAAGAATTGGTGTTTAACATAGCAAAGATCATTCTGAGCCATCCTAATTTCAAGCTTGAGTTGTTTTCATTGACAATGTTGTACTCCTTAACTTTTAGGGCCTTATTCAATCTCTGGAAGGTCCATCTTTGGCATCAGATCCCAACATCCGAATAATAACTTTGTATGACAATGAAGAGGTACATAATAAGTCAAGTACATGTTTATGACATCAAAGAAAACTGATCCAATGCCAGTTAATCAATCTAGTTTTTAGTAACTTCCATCACTGCATATTCAGTGCACTGTAAACTAATTTACTAAAACATCCTGATGACAGGTTGGCTCTGGGAGTGCCCAAGGAGCAGAGTCAATGCTCACAGAGCACATTCTGCGTCGTTTGTCAGCAGGTCAGTTGTTCTCAATTTGATCACATTGATTTTACATGATATATGAACCTTGTAGTGGCCTAGCATACTGTAGATTCTCAGTGGCTCAGTGATAGAGCATTGCAGCTTTTAATGCTATGATTTTTTGGCTTGAAACCTAGGTGGGACAGCTACAAGTTTTGAAGAAGCAATACCTAAGTCATTTCTTCTCAGTGCTGACCAAGCCCATGCAGTACATCCAAACTATTCGTATGTATCCTTAACTTGAAAGCCTTCAAACCCTCAACATCAATATGCATATTCTCCATTCTGTTCTCTATACATTCCCTAAGGGGCTGGGAAGGAGAATTTGTTCAGCAATCAAGAGTTTCTTTATTTAATTGGTGATCATTTCCTAATTATTCTTGTGGCCCTAAAGTTTGATCTAGGGGTTATATCATTGAGAGAAATGAGATGCTGGTCAGTCATGGGCATCATAGTGGTTAAAAGCCTCTTGCAATGTGTTATGTTTGACTTGCACATGAGTTTTCAGATAGCGTGGTTAGTTGGCAAATATAGGTTAATATGGATGATAGCCCTGTAAGCTGTTTTATTATAATTTGCTTTTGGATGTTGTGGAATAAAAAAACTTATCTCATCAGCCGTTACTTCAGTAGTTGAGAGAAAACTTCTAGCCTTAACCAGGTGATAGGTCAGCATTTTGGGTCGGGTATGAACAACTGGTTTTTCTTATTTTCTGTTGTAGAGAAAAACATGAAGAGAACCATAAACCTGCTCTCCACAAGGTGAGGCCTTGACAAACAGAACTCTTAATAATTAAAATACTTGAGATAGTAGTCACCTGCTCTCATTGGTTGATTGGCGTGTTTGGAGGAGAGTATTTAGACACAGTTATGATGTCATACTCTCTCTCCTTTCAGAGAAATATTTTATGAAACCAATAGATAACTTTTTTCCCTGTTTTATTAGCCTCATCTAAACACTTTGTGGTGGGGGATGATTTGAGAAAATTGAGCAGACCCTGAATTACTTCTTGAGCTTGCACGACTTTCTCAAATTCCCTCGACAACCCTTGTGTTTGAAGTGAGAAACTTCTCTGCAGATTAGTCAGTCAGGAATAGAAAGTTTGGTTTCTGCAGGAATCAAAAGCTGTGGTGTCTTCTTAAGGGAAAGTATTTTTGCTCCTCTTTTTCCTTAAATCAATTCAATCTTGGACACGTTATTTAAATGTTCAACACACTGACATGGCAATGTTCAAACACCAATTCAGGGGTGTGACCTGGTGGATTTTGAACTTCACATCGTGGTAAATCCTGTACAATTTATTTATTTTTGTAGTTTTTTTTTTAGGGTCCAGTAATTAAAATTAACAGTAACCAACGATATGCAACAACAGCCCTGTCCTCAAGCATTTTAAGGGTGATTGCAGAGAAGAGTGAGGTTCCACTGCAGGTAAAAGTTCTGTGGTGTTTTACATAAAAAAATGGTTACAATTGGTTACATTTGCTTGAACTTCTGCAATTACCGAGCAGTAGTTTTAATTCCATCTTTTTTTATCACAGGAAGTGTGTGTGCGTAATGATTCTCCATGTGGAACCACTATAGGCCCCATCCTGTCTGCCAAGCTTGGTTTATTAACCTTAGGTAATTGAATTTAGTTG